ACATAAAGCGCCTTGAGGGACTTTTGTTGTGATTTGGCGCTGTATAAATAAAACTGAATTGAAGATTTTCAGAACAGTTGACCTCTGACCTTGAGATCATGGTCACTAAGATTCAAACATGTCTGACACTGTTGGTAGATACACCTATAGTAAGAATTTGAAAATCCTACATGGCTTCGTTCTCAAGTTATCACATTCACAAACTTGGGTGGTGACAAAACCCCATCAGCCTTTTAGGGCTGAGGTGAAAGAAGGGCTTTTTCTGGATCATGTTAGCTAGTGTTAGCGTACCTGCTAAGATAAGAATAGAACAAATAGAGCAGCATGCAGCCATGCTACTCAGTACCCGGAGCTATAAGACCACAGCAGATTTATAACTGACCTTGATGAATCTCTGGGCTTCTTCATAAACTTCACCAAGTGGCGTCACTGTTAGGAAAGCTTCTGTGTGATCTGAAAGGCAAACACAGTAAAAGTTAAGAAAGCTTCCACTGGCTACAGCAAGCATTTGCGGGGTTTCCTCAGTAATATGTGATTAACAGCTTCATCCAAGTATTGTGTGGGAAAAATGCAAATATGACAAACTGTAAATGAAACTCTTGTGAGTGACACACGTTTGCTCACAGAAAGACGTGCTGCTCTTGTTATTCACATCCTTCAGGTTGACTTGAGCTAACACTTTTTAAATGTTAGCCTAAAAGCTGCCTCAGGCTGCAAGCACAAACCGACCTGTTCCAAACAAAACCACATTGAGTCTCAGGCTGCGATCCAGGCTTTTGAGAATCTGCAGGGCGATTCTGCGGGCCGAGCGGAGAGACTCTCCCTTCATGGACTCGGATGTGTCCAACAGCAGGATGATTTCATCTGCGTCTGAACTGGAGCTGACCTCAAAGTCTGGATAGAAAACCAACATGCAGGCCTAAAGGGACGGAAAGGAGATGGCTGAACAAAAAGGCAGCATTTTTAGAGTGACAGGAGGAGAAGACAAAGAGAGCGACAGACAAACCTGGCTGTCCTTGTCAGGGTGTTTCTCCACCCACATCCTGGGCAGGTGGACGTCAGACAGCATGATGGACAGCTGGAATCCATCTGGACCCATGATCTGTCCTGGCAGCACGCTCACCACTGCCTTACAGTCGGTTTTCTACATGACCACAAACATTAAAGAGCAAAAAATGATTGGTTTGCATGCAATAAATCCATATTTGTAAACAGCAGTTTGGTTTAAACAATTAGTGGTATGGTCCACCCAGCCTTCCTCTGACTGGATGATTTCCAACTAAAATAGAGTTACATTAAACAAATATTAACAATCGAAATCTTTAAAGAGAATGAATGACGGTGTTTTGGAAAGCTGTAAATAAAGAACAAACGGCATCAAGTATAAAAATGATTGTAATTATTATTGTTATTACTAGTAGCAGAATTCATTTTAACGACTTGATTCAATTCCAAATGCAGCCAGGTTGTCATTTGTTCACATGCTCGATCAGAGGGACTTAAATCCCAAAAGATTTGGATCGTACGTAACTAATAATAATCTGCATGAACAGTTGCAGTCTGGTTTTCGCCGTCCCACAGCACTGAAACTGCGCTGATAAAAGTAACCAACGATCTTCTCGCGGCAGCTGACTCTGGTTTACTCTCCATTCTTATTCTTCTCGATCTGACTGCTGCTTTTGATACCATTTCTCACTCAATTCTCCTCAGTAGGCTCGCCTCCGTCGGTCTCTCCCATATCCCACTAGCCAGGTTTAAATCACCCAGTTTATTCGCCTTAAATCCTTCACTTCTCAGCCCTTTCCTCTGGTTGCAGGCGTGCAGGGATCTGTCCGGGGCCTCTTCTTTTCATTATCTACCGTCTTCCACTTGGACACATTTTTTGTAAATAAAATATTCAGTTTCACTGCTTAAATGTAAAAAAAAAAAGCCAAATGACCTTCATCTTGATTTGGTGAGTGATACATTGCAGGCTGGAGATCTCATAGGGCATTTCAGCTGACAGGTCCAAGGTGAACTCTCTGAGAGCAAAGGAACAGTGATTGAACAACCCCAAACCAAAAACATGACGATACACGAAATAATGAAGCTGTAAATACTGCAAAGCTGTTGTTCAGTTCTTAACAGTTTGGAGGTGGATTTGAGCAGACGAGGTTCAGACTGGTTAACAGAAATGCTTCATTTCGCTCACCTCACACTCGCAGCTTCATCAGTTACACACACCTTCTCCACACTGACCTGTGGAGTGACGTTTAAAGTCATATTTGTCATCAAAGCAAACTCTGATTCAATCATGAGCCGGACAGGATCTCTGTTACCTGTGTGGTCTGGTTGAGGGCTGCACTCTCCTGCCACGGAGCCACGCTGCCGGGCAGGGAGAAGAGAATTGTGCCGTCCCTGACGATCAGCTCGGAGACAAAGGTCACTTTGATGAGGACAGTTGCACCAGGGGGCAGGTTACCCACACTGATGGTGAACACATCCTGCAGTGAGGATACAGACCATGTCACAACCAGTGGCGGCTAAAAGGGCCTACATAACACCAGGAGACGCTAAACAGCTCTGGACCCGCATGATGTGTGTGTGTGTGTGTGTGTGTGTGTGTGTGTGTGTGTGTGTGTGTGCTTAG